AATATTTTTTTGTTTACTTAATCTTTATAAGCAAGACTCTTGTCTTGTCTAACACTGTTTCAGCTGTTCCATGCAGTTCTCCATGTAATGTAATGTTTTATAAAATTGAAATTACGTGTATAGGGAAAAACACCAATGTCCAGAAAAGTAAAAGAATGTTCTGTTCTGGGGTATATAATGTTTTACTGCAGAAGAACATAAATCTGCAGATGTGATGTGAGAGATGCTTGCATGAATTATTAATCAGACATGCAAATTTCATGTGCATGGTCAATTCTTTGGAATTGGAAGTGTTGCCTACTACAAAACAATGAAATATTTCTAAAACACCCAACCACTCACACACAGCATTCATAAAAGAAGTCTATCATCCAAAGTTATATAATATATACTATTTAATAAAAAAAGATAATCTAAAACAAGCAAAAAGGCCACAGGGACTAGAACAGAGAAATACTCTACAACCATGGATAACTCCATGCTACAACTAGATGCTATGATGGGTGGCCAGGTAGCAGATAGTGAGAATGAAGATGAAAATGGATCAAGGTACAAATTTAAGCTGCATACAAAATGTTGTAACTTTATTTTGTGTTTCTTATTGGCATATTCGTGTACAATATCTACCAGTAGTATTTATGTACATAATGTATGTACATCCATGATGTACATTGTACGTACAGATATGGAAATGAAAATGATTGTTTTGAGCAGCACAATTTCCCCTCACAGGGGCCCCACCTCTGACCCTACCATCCAAGCATGTAGCCTCTGGCTGCATCCACGGTTCAAACCCATTAATTATTGTGCCGGTGGAGAAAATGGTGCAATAATAATGGCCAGTGGGCATATCCGCTTGCACTCAGTCTTATGTGCACAAATAGCCAGCCTCCCCATTACTTTCACATCAAATAAAAATTGACCACATCTCAAAAGCTCTTACCTCTGTAGAGCTGTATTTTTTAATGTTTAGAGCTGATTTTCAGTTAACACAGCACTGAGGTATTCAAAAAAATCTATTTCTGCACAAAGGTGTTGTGATCGGCTTTCCATTGGATCGATCATTTCAAGGTGGCCTTTTCCCCCTGGATGTGCCTGCACGACAGAATAGCCAATCATTTCTCTTGACTCCCTGCATGTATTTCTCCCAGTTCAACCTACATTTTGTCTACATTGGCTTAAAAGGGAAACTGCTTTCCTCGCCAACAATAAGGAGCCTGTAGCTACATTTGAACCTGGATGCACCTGAGCCAAATCATCATGTCAGCAGTTGGTTCTGTGCACCTAAACACCTGTGACTTGGACACATCCTCCAAGGAGGTCTGTAATGTTATCTCACAGGTATTTTTTCTCAGGCAACTGAGAATGTACTAATATTGATGTCTGACTTATTAAAAAACAGTTATTGCATGTTGATTCTTGAGATGTGAAAGTTCTTTTTACAACATTGTGGGGCAACATGTTCTGCTCAGGTTCGTATGCAAGAATAACTTTTAAGAGAAAATGCTACAAAAGTTGACTAGGAGTAGATTTAAATGTAGGTAATGGCTATTTTACAACATAGCTTTCGGCTAGTTACAAAATATGTAGTAAAACCAGTTTCAGATTAGACAAGACAAAATACTTAATGGGACAAAAGTCTACACTGTGAACAAAACAACACTGTGACAACAATAGTGAGACAGGTGTTTTCCATCCAGAAACATCTTGGCAGTCTTGGATGATCGATAAAAGGCATTCTATCTGTATTCAGTGAAACTTCACATAAAAGATAGATAGATCTACATGTATTTGGAAGACAACTTATAATTACAACCGGTTCCAATTCTACTAGTCATTTTTTTATTGCATCCTGTACATCATGTGTACAATTCCTAGGGAAAAAAGTGGTTTATGATGGATAGATGATTACTGGTGGTTTACCTAACTGTCAATAAATTTCCACTTGTCACCCCCATAGCAATAGCCTTATTGTCAGTTTCTAAAATGGCAAGGTACACAGATCTTAGGCTTTTCACATAGAAAAATGTTAAAATATTATTTATTTTTGCACCTATTTTATGCAACTGCAAATCAGTTTTTGCTGACATAGCAACATAGTAGCAGGACTTCGCTGTAGTACCATTAGTGTGGTTTAGAGAATTCTCTAACCTTCAATGATCTAAATTTTGGACATTTATCTTCTGTCTGGCTCATATATTTTCTACAGTAAAGATGGGCTAGATTGAGGTGCATAGAATCCCAAAGGTGTTTTACTATCTGACAACCAAATTCAGTGTATGTGAAGATGATAATCATCATGGCAGCAAGGCATTTTTTATTGTGCAGACACAGAAGTCAGTCTCAATAAAAATCCTTAGATCTATGGAAGTGATCAAAAATAGAAAGGAGGTCACATGCATACATGATAATGATTGGCCCAAATTTTTCACCATAGCAACAAAAACAACACCATATCTAGTGTGTCTTTGGCCACCCCTGTATCATAGATTGCTTGCACACTGCTTGCAAAAATAAATATCACAACTTTCCCCCCAAAGGTTAGAGTATATAAACTGATCTGATGGATTGGCATCTGGCCATAAAATAATGATCACATTATCACTGACCATTCCGTTCACATCTGTTCCAAGCTAACTGCTCAGAGATAGAGCATCCTCATCTGCCCCATGACGTCTCCTTAACAACCACTGGTACAGACATGTGGCCTGAGTTTAATGTTCATAACCATTCTTATCTTGTGGACGTCATCACAACTGTGACTTTGATAGTCGCCATGGTACTTAACTAGGCAGAACCCTCAATCTATATGACAGTGTACCATCTGCATTTTTGCATCGGGAGACAGCTGCCTCCAGCAGACAATATTCCACATACCAACCTTGTAATTTTGACTGTAACAGCAGACTTATAAAGTTATCTTTTGTATAAAATGCAAAAGGCCTAAATCCAATTTCTCAGGCAATTTTCCAATGTCTTGGCATTTTGCCTGGTAACCAAGTAAAATGGAAGAAAACCTTTCACATTAAGACATTTTCTAGAAATGCTATGCCTCCTGGTATACTGGTAAATGCCATTTATGATGACAATTGGGTTTGGTGTACTAAGGAGCCAGAAAAATAGATATCCATCAGTACTGTTCCCCACAGCTACAGTATTGGTTTGTCCCATATAGAGCAATATTCATCCTGTCAAAGGTCTAACGGTACATCAACATGGAGTCAGGCTGTCGCTTCTGCTACAGTATAGCTGAGGGCCATGTAGGTATTTACTGTTACAAGCAAGAATATACATGCTGCTGAGATCTTGTTTTAAACCCTTACTAAGTCTTAGAGTCATCTCACATTGTGCCCTATTGGTATGTCTAATAATATACATGTATTGGGTAAGTATGTCAATATAACAAGACAAGTAAAAGGCATGATACACACAATAGATGAGTACACAGACTTGTAATCCATGTCTGGCTGCAGAATTTTGCTTAGAGAATTTCTCTAAAATGCATGATGATAGTACATGTATGTTGCTTTTATCCTTGTAAATGGCCAGCTAAATCCACTGCCCAGAAAGATAGGTCATGCCCCTTGGGAGTACCAGCCACTCCCTGTGAGGAAAGCTGGTCCAAGTGAGACTTGCACACCCAAATCCTCTTGTGGAACTCTGAGCCAGCTTAGGCATTCACACTGTGGGTCATAAGCTACAAGGCAACCCCTGGACTCAGGAGCAGAGTAGGTCAAGCCTTTTGACAATGTCACAATTCCATGTTCAGGTTTTGTCTTCTCAAAATATCAAATTTGTAAACATGTATATTCCTGGATAATTAGAAGTGATTTCATTTGCTCATTGATTGGGATCATCAAAAGGAAGATGGGACAATTGCTTTGTATTTCATCTGAAAACCGGTATCTCCTACATGCAGTCTATTGAAAGAAAGTATGGTAAGTCCAAGTAGGTTTGGACCTTGAATCTTATATCTGATTACACTAACCGGAGCCACAAGTTGTTTGTAAGTCAAGAGGAAGTTATCACCAAAGCTGCCAGATGGGCTGTCAAGACATGTAAGTGAAGCCCTGTAGTTAAAGCACTACTATTATGTACTATAATGCAACTGGAGAAGGTTGTACAGACAATTCTCCCCAGCCACCCACAATTTTGTATGCAAGTTTTGAAGACCAATTTCCTTTTTCCCATCACACGCCTATGTTCAATCAATGGCTGTAGTTCAATGGCCATGATCAATAAAAGTGAACAAATAACTGAACCTGAGTTAATGGGTATTCCTGGGATATCCACAAGAAGGGAGATATTTAATGGCTGAAGAGGAACAATGAGATTACTCTCTACCAGAATTGTCATGGAATATATTATGCCATGTTCAGATATTTATGAGCTAAGAGACTAAAGACAGAAAAGACTTCAAAGAAAAGTTGAAGTTGCTCGCTTAAAGGAAAATGCTGCTTTTTACCATAAATTTGTCTTAGAATTTTTGAAGAAACAAGAGCTCTTGCTGACAGATTTTATCATATCTATGTGGACCCTGTAACATGTTGCCTTCATCCTTTCAGTATTAATGCATAAAGCAGAATATAGCAAATTGCTACTGTTGGATGTTGGCTCGATTCATTCAGGCCCCGCCATGACCCTATTTCCTGGAATCTTACTGCAATGTTTATGCTGTGGCTAAGGCTGTGCTATTTTGAGCTGGAGAAACACATTGCTTGCTGAAGCAAAGCCATTAGACTTGTAACATGTACCTGTGAACTTTTCATAGACTGGCCAGATAGGACATGGAAAGGACAGACCCGATCTAATAGTAAACTGTCTCCTATTAAGGAAGATACTTATCTCTTTTGTAAAGCATGTCTAAGTCACCCCATTTGACCTCTGTGTATCATGTTTACTGTTTTGTATACAAAACATTGTATATACAAACTAGCATGTAAACAATACATTAAGCTGCAGTTTAGTGTCAGCATGTAGAAAATTGCATGTATACTTACGATGTTTCGTCGTTTTGGAATTCCAGCTCGCCAAAAGCGTCTTCGTAGTCATCACCACCACCCTTGGCTATTCCATCGATGGTGCGATACGGGACACGGACCACACCTCTGGCACCTGCTCCCCTGATAACCTTCAACTTGTAGGTGCCAACACTTTCATGAACTTCTAACTCCTTGTCCTCGAAGGTGAAGACTCCTGCGTGGTCATCGTCCAGGATGTTGATGGTAGCTACGGCAGGGCTGACCAGCTTGATGTCGTTGGCGCCCCCTGACTCTGGGCTGGTGCGGACGTTGCTCAGCTTCATGAAGAAATGCTCATCCTCCTCAAAGACTTCGTCATCGATGATGGTAACGGAGATCTCCTTCTGTGTTTCACCTGGCTTGAAATACAGGGTGCCCTCCACATACTCGTAGTCGGAGCCCGCGTTGGCCGTGCCATCCTCAGACTTGTAATCAACGTAGGTAGGGCGGTTGAGATCTCCACCCCTGCGGACAACAGTCACGTCGAATGTGCCCACATTTTCCAGAACGGTGAAAGTGTCTGGGTCGAAGTACACCTTAGTGATGGAGTCATCCTCCTGGCCTATCCTGATCTCTGCGAGGCTGGCTTCCCTTTGCATGTCCTTCTGGATGCCCTTTTTGATGACGTTGCCTGATCCGGTCATCTTCCTGGTAGCCTGGATACGGTAGAATGCTCTGCTCTTAGGGCCGCTGTTGAGCAGCTCGTAATTGGCCTTCTCCATGAGGGTATCCATGTCAGCATCGGGATATTTCCTCCTCAAATCCTTCAGCAGTTCTTGGATTTCTCGCTTGTTGTCACCAACTCCATATGGAAGATCACCATCAGCCAAGTCATCCTCCCCACCCTTCTCAGCCAGCTCCATGTCACCACCTTCAGATGCCACAATGACCTTCTTGCTCCTGCTTGCACGATATCTCTTGTCCAGGTACTTGTAGAAGAGCAATCTCCTGTCGGCAACATAGGCGATGAGCACACAAACAGGGAAGAAGGCCAGGGTGACGATTCCCTCCCACACATCTACACGTTTTGGTGAGATGACAGAAAGGATGAGGAATAGCCACAGGTATGCGAACAAGCTCCACGATGCAGTGACGATAAACACTCTCAAATGCTTTATTCTGCGGACCTCACCATCAGGAATCACCTGTACACAGATGGCAATGATGACAAACAGGTTGAAGGCAGCACTACCTACAATGGTAGCTGGTCCCAAATCTCCTGCATTAAAGTTGTTTCCTATGATTTCAATGATGGACAGAAGGATCTCAGGGGCTGAAGATCCCAAAGCCATGAGAGTCAAGTTGGAAACTGTCTCGTTCCAGACTTTGACAACCACAACTTGGGTTGTACCATCTGATCTCTTGATTGTTACTTCTCTCTCCTGTGCAGTGATGACCTCAATGGCAGCCATGAATCTGTCCGCAATGATTGAAACTCCCAGGAAAAAGAAGAGCAAACCGGCAAAGTAGATCGTAGCTCTTGCAGCCTTGTCGCCCTCGGTCATGACAACGGGTTCCCACAGAGGTAATATGACACCCTTCTTGCATGGATCGGCCTCCATGCTGCACACGGCCTTGGTGGGGGCCGGGCTCGTCACATTGTCCTGAGCGCTGATGCTGTTGGCTTGTAGTACCAGCAGGAACAGGGCGGCTCCCCACAGCCACCTGCCCGACAGCGCACCTGCTATTCTCCTGAACGTCTCCATGTTTCTCGCCGGGTGACCCGCCTCACACCCACCTACGGGACAGAACAAAGAGATGTTGTGTTTATCTGGGCGGATTCAAGGGTTGTATATTGAGCGGTAATTTACAAGAAAACGGTCTACCCCTCGGCCACGCCTCTTCGTTAAACAAAGTGCAACGGCCAGGCTTTGTCGCCCCAGAGCCGAGCTGACAATGCGAACCATCCAAACGTTTGCACTGAAGAGCTATATATGGCGAGGACCAGTACTTACGTCCACCGGCGTGCACTAGTCGGGACTGTTTGCTCGCACCCAATTACTGACTACAATGTTAGTTTCTCTGCACTCGTCTGAGCGACCTGGGGACGTTCCCAAGCCATTCAGCATTCTATTCTGGGTGACCGTCCGGCTCCACCTTGCACACACCTTGCCCGGCGAGTGTAGTGTTGGCGCGAGCGTTTGCGGTGATGTCCCGGGCCGAGTCAGGTACACTTCCGCGTTCTGATCACAAACCAACCCGACTGACGTCCCGTGCCCGCGACACAGTTTTCTTCCCACAACACGCCTCAGTGTTTTATGCCCGTCTGCTCAGAATTATTCAGCAGGCACCCCTCTGCAACACACTAATTTCTGCACAGCTATCGGACCATATCATAACACGAGAAGCTTGCCAGCTAACTGTCGTTACGCCTTACTGCACAGTCCAACTGAAGGCGGGGACGGCCTTTTGAGCAGTGAGGCTTTCATGTACTGATGTAGCTGCCTTTGGGTTAGGGCGGACCGCAGGGTATCACGGGTAGGGAGCTATGGCGCTTCAACTTATCGTGGTGTGTTATTAAAAAGACGATCGTTATCGACACAAACTGTCTTTCTCTTTTTCAGTTGAATTTCGGAAACAAATATACTAACATCTGAAAGTAGTACGGTAGTAGTAGTAGTGTGATCGAGAGACGCCTGTAGCGGAGGCACTGCACTTAAAGCGAAGGCCTCCATAGGTGTTTCATACACTTGAAAAACAAAACGTCCCATTCCCTGTAAAAACCTAAAGCAGCTACCACCATATTTGACATGTCCACAGTTACGGTGGACTGTGTGGAGGTGAAGACTTCAGTCAATGAGGGTGCCTGGAGCGGAACAAATGCCGCTCATTTACATCTTTCATGCCCTCAAGTCAGATACGATCACCGCCATAGTTCCCGGCGGACTACCTTTTGCGTCACATGCCTATTTCTGGCATTAGATAAGAGGAAGCGTTTTACAGGCCTACCTACTGTAGATAGCCAGTTTCCTTTTCAACTAAATGGCGGGGTCAGATACTGCATACGCGTTGATGTACTGTGATGTAGCGCCTAACTGCGCATGAATTTATTTTCCCTGTAGGTCCCCAGACAATTCATTACTGAACTCACCCATTGATCAGTTGTTCTCATCTACCGGTGGTGCCAGCCTTGCTCGTAATACAAGAGCTTTTTATGTTGTAGATGATAAGAATGGTCACGTGACCAGGTAGTACTAGTAGTTCTTTTCTTTCGCTTATGTCGGTAAACTCAATGATGAACTGGGTGCATTTCCAGACAAACCCATGGATAGGCATTGCTAACAATACACGAGAGTGTATGAGAGCTGTTTATCAATATAAGATTTGATCTCTTGCATGCCGAAAAAAAGGCAACGTCTTCTGTCCATAAATGTAACATGACTGACATAATTCATGCTTATTGGCCGTTGGTAGGTTCAAGCAGAAATTTACACGCAGCCTGAGTAAACTGCTTTCACAAGCTTACGTAAATCGTCAATTTTTTTTTAGTGTTGCTAACCTGTGGTTTGTGACTAGTTTGTGTACAAGTGCCGAGGAGAAGTGCCACTTTCATGTAGGCGTACTTGCGGTTAGTCAGTTCTCGCCCCCAGGCGCCTAACACGTGCTCTGTCAATGCCACTAGTCAAAGCGCAAAGACAACGCTCGTATGGCCCGGCTCTTTGCCATCTATAGAGTAGATCATAGATGGCGGGAAAGTCAGATGATGAATGCACTGTGACGGGTGTCTGTTATATCGATGAGTGTTCCAGAGACACAGCTGACTACTTCTTTCCAAAAATATTTCACAAATTTCTATTTAAAAAATCATGTTTATGTTCTGCGAGGATGCATATGCGACCCCTTGTATGGCGGAATTTTGAATCGAATGTCTTCTCGCTTTTATCGCTCCCATCGGATAAGATGTGCCACTTGATCAAGCACCAGCCATCAGTATCCTAATTAAACCATTGATTCCCTGACAGCGGTGCGCACAGCTCCACAACCCGCGCGATATTATAAGTGTTCGGTGCAGCGGTCTTACAAAAAAAAGCTCAGATCTTAAACCAATGCACAATACCAAAGGTTACGAATTATATTTACCTCTAGAATTTATAGTAGCAATTGTGAATATAAGCTGAAGTCAATTATAACGTGGGTGCAGAGACAGCTGGGGTCCGCCTCCTGCTGACTAGGAGATGTGACAAACGTCTGTGTACGTTGGGAGGGGGGAGTGCCTCCTTAAAAAATAATGTTGAAGATGAAGACCGTCAGATGGTCGGTTCAATCTAAACTTATATTTTACATTAATTTCTTCTCGTCCTAATGCTAATGACGACACATTCTACATTGTGATGTTGAATCGAAGCAACCTATTTCCAGCGTCACGACATGATCTAACAAGTCCCTCAGAAACTGCGCTCCGAATTCTCGACATATTCCACATTGGTCTGCTCGGCTCTGTGTGTGCAACTTTAACCAGATCTAGGAGAAAGCCCCTTGTTTTTCCTGTAATCAAGTCCAATTCGAAAAGCTATCCACATGAAGTCCCCTATGTATACAATTGGTCACAGCAGACTATTGAAAGGATTAGACATGCCATATAAGATACGGAATTGTAATGATTACCTGAATATGGTCAGTTCAACTCCAGGGGCGGCAGTTCTTAAAATCCAACTGAATATCCCCTCCAGAAAAGGTCCAATAAACCACCAACCAATGCTCGGCTCTGTGGCTCTTTAGATCCTTAGAACATCGCTACCTCACAAGAGCTGAAAGAACGTGAAAATAGGACCGGAGCAGAGAGGTACAGCGGCACGCGCGTTCTTCCTGCGGGGCTGCACCGCCGCTCTGACGGAAGATGCTGATTCGGTAGACTTGCCCGGTTTCAAATTGCGTTTAATATTATACGTCCATGTGCTTATCCATGAAATTCAATCAATCATAGCGCACATCAGTTCATGCCAGTGAACATACTGCAAATTCCTTATATCTGTAATCTCGTTTTTCGAGCCAAACGCAATACTCCGAGAACCTCGAACAATATCGCAAGTTGGGCTAACGCACTTCTGAACTAAAATTTCGATCTGTTGTCGTGTAATTCGGGGCAGGTTCTTTGGACGATAGATCGGCTGTAGAGGAAAGCGTGTCCTCGCGAGATTGGATCCTATGAATATTTTTAGCGCTGACCCAATCCTGGAGGTGGTGCAGCTCTATGGAGGCGTCCAAGACGCCTGTTTGTACAGACACGCTTTATCCATTATGTTTTAGCACCTGCCAAATACACTGTATCCTGCATTTGCCAGAGTTGTATACAGAACAAACAAATGGACGATTTTAAACAGTGGGAAATGTAGGGTAAATGTTTGTCATTTGGTTTCGGATTTCGGGTAACAATACCTGTTGGTAATTAAGACACTAAGTTTACAAGATCTGTATTTTGTTGTTTGAAGCAGCGTATAGAGGCTGGGGGGGGGGGGTACATTGGCCGCATTGCCAGTAGCCCGACCAAAATAGCGATTGATGGAAGTTACCATGTTGCAATTTTGATGAGGGACCACGAACGGACCAATGCCATCGCGCCACGTTTCGATCCAAACATTTGTTCAAGCAGATGTTGGAAGGGAACATCGTGATACTTTCTTAACCTCCTTCGCTAATACGTGATGTGTTTTTACGAGAGCTAAAAGGTTCTGTAATGGTAGAGGGAGTTATGTCGCGGAACCCGCGGAGGGAGTTAAGCGGGCAAGCTCTCCTCCCGATCAAGGCCCTTCACCCCCTCTAGCATCACGTAGAAACAATCGCTGCCCCGAGGTCTGTGCAGGAGGCTAGCATTAACTGGCTGTCCAGTTTTTTTTCTGGGGATGAAACACAACCATTCTGTGTCAGAAAAGCAACCCAGCTGTAATAGCAGAGTCACTGTACGTACATATTTAACGTTACGTTTAGTAAAACGGCGTTGCGAGACTTCAGAGGTCATCAGAAAAGTCACATTCGTGATCCCAACAAACGACGAGGCTTTTTTTTCAAAAGAATATTAGTCATTAATCACTTGTCATAAATTACTTCAGTTGATTATTCACAAATTGTTACATGTATTTGGAAAATTGTCAGTTAGTGGACGGACTCTAGTGATCCTAGTAGGAATCATCAACAGATTGGGCATAAATAACTTCAATAAGATATAGTGTAAGGTGTGCCGCCTAGCAGCTTATACAAGAATCACATCTCTCCATTGCAGTGTATACGTATCTAGGCTGTTCGTAGCCTGGTATTTACCCGTATTTAGTAACCTGGTTACTGACCAAAAGACAGTTTCAAATACGTCTGGCAACGAGTTTTTGGATAGAGACAAGATTGCTAAATATGGATGGATACCAGGCTAGGCTGTTCGATCAACAGTTCCCAAAGTACTATCAATCATCAGTCCCAATTGTCGGGTCGACCCGTACACACACACACACACACACACACACTGCTGCAACTGAGTACATCTTACTGAGTTGTGAAGGGGCCTTCCTGACTGGACTGCAGTTTTGATTAACGTTTGTATATATTTTTTCAACTCTGGCATTAGGGACTGCATCGTTTTTTTTTTACTCAGCCTCCTCTGTGGCGTATCGTGGTCTGTTCCATGAAGATCATTTGCCGGTGAAGCAACACTCGTTAAGTCTTACTAGGTCTTTAATTATCTTCTGAGTTTCGATAGTTCTCGGTTGACTCTCAGCTGATAGGCTTGTCCACGCAGGCCCTTACAGGCATCCTTCACTTTCACGGCCGTCCGTACTAACAATCAATCATCACGTGGCAAATCGACTTCGTCAGAACGCTCAGGGGGCTGTCGGGAAGACTTATTCAGTAAGGTCTCCAAATGCTCTGAAAACAAAATAATCGATATCCTAATAATTAGCTAGATAAATGCTTGATTAAAGCCAGTTATATTCTTTATTAGATTGAAATGGAACCGCAAATTAGAAAAAGACATTTCCTGTGCCTGAGAACAAATTACAATGATCGATTACAAACAAAGTAAGCAGACAGTAGTAGCAATCGTTGGGACATCAAACTCCCTCTGATCCCAAACGGGATAGCATTTCGCCGATATATATGAGTTTATCGGTTAGTCAAAAAAGCAGCTGTGATGGTGAGCTTTATCATTTGTTCATCAAACTATTTTGGCTGAACAGTAACTGCAGGTCTGAATGTTGTGAGTCAGAAGTGTTACTCGCGTAATTTCGGTGTGATTTCTGAACAGATGTTTAGAGAGAAAAAAATGCTAATCTGTTGGAAATTTACAGGTATTACCAAAGTCAAGAAAAATGATGCCAATACCAATACAGATACTAAATACTAATACCAATAAGACAGAGTTCAAAAGAACATGACAGTGCTCCGAGAGCAGTGAGAAGTTCCTTTAGCATCCCGATGACCGGAATAAATCTGAACAGGTTTGAGATCCGCAAAAAGATAAAAAGAAAACATCGGATTGTATTAGCAGATAGCCCCTCGATAGATTTGCTATCAAACTGATCTATTAAGGACGGTTGAACAATGTACCATTGACGTAGGACGCAATTATGTTCAAACTTGTCCTAACAGCCTGATGTCTCCGCGTTATTTGGTAGCAGCTGGGATGACATCTTTACACACTGACCTGGCACTGTACGTCTGGTCTATGGTGTGTAAAGATGTCACCCTGGCTGAGCAATGTTGAAGTATTCTGTAGCAATGTTACGCATCTGTGACTTGGCGGTGTCATGTTTCCACAGGTCACCTAAGGCGAAAATAAGCATGTCTGGGGAAAGTCCAAACGCGCTCAAGGATAAGTGCATGCAGTATACGACACAGATAAAGATAGGTTTTGAATAATTTAAAATGGTTGCTGTTTCAATTATAAACCAAGTTCACTGTAGTGTTGATGAGGGAGCGCAATGTCTTCTTGATCGAAAATTCTCATAAAAATTCTGTATTAGGAAGTCTCAATCGCTTGGTAATTGTTCTCTGTATAGATGTAACAGTACTCTTTTGAATGTAACAATTTGCGAAGGAATGTGTGTGTTTATGCCCGGATTCATTGACGCATCTTGTCACAAGTGCAGGCCACATAGTCTGCTATATATGTATATGCTAATATAGCAGTCCTGTCAATCAGGCAGGCTTCTAAACAGTCACAGGAGAATCCGTAGGTTCTGTGAAAACAAATGCTGGTCGAATCTAAAATAGACATTTTGTGGCACTCTTGGGCTGCTAAGCAGACTCGTTCTTGACACAAAACTGACTGCCCTTCGAATTCCCTTGTTTTAATGAGCGGCCCCCAACGTCTAGTTAGGAACGTCTCCGATTCGCTGGCGGGAAGTAAAGCATATTCTCAAGAGGCATTTTCACATTTTGTTACCATATGTTGAGTAACCCAAGATAACTTCCGTGTAGCCCGAAGTGTCGTACAGACTATGTTCACTTGGGCGAAATGATGACAAAGTTGTCTGTCTTATTTTCTCTCACGACCAGCCATATGATGTCCACATCCAGATTGGTACCGTCTCTGTAATCTTCCCATATAGTGATCCATAAGCGCAGAGTAAAATGATGTGGAGAGTGAACATTTGTCAGTCATCATGGCGCTAGACAATGGACGTTAAAACAACACATAACCCAAAAATCTGCTTGGAGAAAATCCTATTATCGCACACCCGCGAAAGCCAACGAGATAAAGACACATGTAACGTGTTCCACAAGTCCATCAAGATGTTTTCTGAAATATTACATGGTCTATAAAACTACTTCGGTTTAAAAAAAAAGTGCATCATCTCAGCAAAGAATGGTGCGTTACAGCTGCGAACGTATGGAGACAACTAATTGCAATACTCCGTTGGAGGTCATTGACCGCCTTCACGGAGTAATAACCTTTCAGAATCGAGTCTTTGAGAACGTCAAAAACTAAAACGGTTGTCATCTCTGGGCGAATTGTAGTCCCTGTTCAGATCAGTCCATTTAACGCTAGGATTCAACAGTTCCCCGAAGTCATATCTCTTAGAGTCTTCCAATTTGTGGAACTTGGAACGACGTCTCCTCAGATTTTGCTGTGTCATGACTTTTAAGAGCACGAGCACGACTTCCACCTAAAGGTCATCTGGCAGGTAGCCATATCATCACTATCAGTGTCTGTCTTCCTACTTTCTGGCAGTCTACCCATCAACTGATAACATCCAAAAGAAAGAATTTTGCTGATAATTGTAACGTTTCAATCCTCAGAGACTTGCAGGTGACGGGCTGTGGTCTTAATAAGTCGTCCGTCTTCTCCGTCGCATCCTTAATGTAAAAAGACTATTTCCATCCATGGTGTAGTAACTGAGCTGTAAAGAGCGGGGTAAGCAGTCACCACGGCCTTTGTGGAAAATTCCGGCTCAGTGATCGAAGTGGGAAGTCTGACATTTGTTACATCATACTCGGAAAGACTCATAAAATATTGGACATATTGCAGGTTTCACAGAGGACTTTGTTACCATACCCGCAACTTGCATTACGTTGATTTGGATGACAGAAAGTGTACGCTTAATAAAATCTATGTTGTACCATGCAATATTTCAGGTGCACTATCTTAAATATTCCAGAACCGGTGTGTGAAATACTGGCCTCATCTCTGAAAGGGGGAACATGAAGAAGAAATGCTGTGAAAATGGACGCAAACTACAACATAGTACCAAAGATACTTTGTCTCAGTTTACAGACATCTCCCGGGGCTTAAGAAGCCAAGACATTGTGTTTATCATTTGTACCAGTAAGTAAGATTTGCTAGCCCGAGTTAAAAGAAGGGCAAAGTGCACGATTTGTTAAGCTCTAAGTTAATGTCATAAATACTATGATGTATTACTAGTATCAGAGATATAATCTACCCTGCCACAAATACCACATTCCCATTCCAGATAAACATGTGGTAGAAGACCTCATTGGTTGATAACAAGAATGACATATTAGTTAAAACCCACAGCACAAACCATTTTCACTTAGTATATCTTTACACATCCGGTGCTATATGTATATAGCATGAGACTATGAACTTAAAAGTCACCACTACCAGTAACAATGCAGGATACACTTACACCACACCAACACATTGAGGAAGCCAACAACACCACCTTCAGGAGATATTTTAATAAGCATTTCATACAATCATACAGAAAGGGATTGCACATTGAACTGGATCCTGTTACAAATGCTAGCTCCAAATGGGGTTCAGTATTTACACATAAATACAGCAGCGAATCATTTCATATGAATCTAAAACCTATATGTGGACATTTCAATGCTGCTATCCTGTAAGTCATGCCAATGTATGATCTTGTCCCAACTATTGCTACATCCTATTATATATGTGCTGTGTCAAACACAGACATTGTCTGATAAAGTTGCTTAAATACTGTATATTAGATTCATGGACATGATTATTGACCTGAATCTGCCTGGGACTAAACCAAATGAAATCTGAAGTAAAATGCAGATCATGTTACAACAGGGTTTCACATGAACTTTCTTAGAGCCAGGGATACTCTTTTAAAGGATGGGGTTCATTGCAAGTTTGACATTTATCTAAACACACTGCTGCAGAGAACTACAACCACAGATATTAAGTACTAGTTATGTTATCAAAGTGATACTTGAACATAACTTAATAATTTACACTCAGACTGGACACAATGTCTTTGATTTAACTGTGTAAATCATAGTAATCTTTTCCCTCTTCCATAAAGTCACATAAAGTAGTATTGGAAACTGCTCACTTATGCAATATATCCTGTGTTGTTGTTTTATATTCCTGATGCAACTTGTCACAGCATGTACAAAAATGTACTTAATGTCTGCAGTGGTACTATGTATACATAATTGTTCTTGAATCAGCCTTTTTTTCTAGCTTGAAGTTCTATATGAAGTTATGATGACAGTATCAGCACCAGGCACGGAGTACTTTGATGTGTACATATCATACAGCATACCAAGCCAATCTGATCACATTTGTTCCAAAAGAAGTGTCCCAAAAAACTTTAGAGACTAGAAAGTCAAGTCAGCCTCTTATACATTGACATTTTCATGACATACATGTAAGGGAGTCTACATGACAATGTAGAGCTAAAGTTGGTTAGAGCACCAGTTAAATATGAGTGCAATATTACAGACCATCACTTTAGAACAAACTGTCACACCTGCATGGGAAGCTGTTATTCCTTATGTTGCTTACATGTAGCATTCCTTTAAAACAAATCAGCTATCAGATTGGTACATGGCATTGGTAAAAATGAGACATCTAGAAATACATGTACATACACAAGACACAGACATTCATATTTACTACAATCTTAATGTCCTCTGTTACCCTTTAAAAATTACACTTATATTGCTTGTTCACCTGTTCTAATTCACCAAGTCTCTCCATGGAAGGATCTGCAAATTTTCTAAAATTTGCATATATAAAACAAAAATACATTTTACAGCTCTGCTTAAGTGAGATTAAGTCAAAGAAAGTACACAACATTTAGATCATTTAAAAGCTGATGTCTCATCAAGAATTGAACTATTCCAAGTAAAAAGCATGACATAGATTTTTAGAAAATGTATGGTAGCTCCCTTATCTTAATTTTTACAAACCTGTCAATCTTCAACATTCCATTCTTCATTGTTATCCTATACATAATTTCCTTTTAAAACCTTTCTCAGCAAAAGAATGGAGTTTGTACACACTTCCATTTCATAGGGAGAGGATTCACCCTTTTTAAATGGAATAGCCCATATTGGTGACATGGAATAAGTAATAGTCACCTGCCTATCAAATTTTTCAAACGTTAAAATTTCACACTCTTAATGGCTGCTCTAGTTGGCCTATTGCTAACTGGCTCTGTCCATAACCATGCATAAGTTACATGATGGCATTAAGCTGGATGTATACACAGGACACAGAGGGCAATTAAATCCTGCAAATCTAATCTAATCCTCAAGAATAAAGTTCTTTACATTCTTTGACTTCCCCCTTGAATTCTTCATAAACTTGAGAAGATAAAAATCAGGTGATATGATATTTTTGGCCATTATATACTTCTGGCCTCAGCAAATGGTGGAAATGCAGCAAATTCATTCAAGTGAATTGTAGATTTTTTTCAATCACCCTCTCAACTCTAAAAGTAAGCATTCTAAGTTACTTATTCTATTAGCCCACAATGCTTCTTGCCACTTGTATGTAGCATACTTTACGATACTGAGATACTTCAAACACTCCTAAGCTTGACTACAAGTTCTAGAACTTAGAACTTGTCCCGGCAACAGTGTTGAAAATTTTAGTCTTTAGATATCTTCATTTGACCTTGTCCTACTATGCACCACTCTATAACTCTATATAATGTATACATTTCCTGCCTTCTGTGGTTGCTTTCCCAAATCACTGCAGCTTAATTCCATTTATCAGTTCTGGAATATTGCTAGACGTCACACCATGGAGCTAGAAATGATTTTTAATCCATGGTCACACTTGGAATTTTATGTCTTGAGTAGCTATAGTAAACACAGATGGGCTTTGGATCATGCTTCAGAAACTGAAACATTAACTTGTATACTACAATTATCGTCTTATTAAACAACCTCTTACTGCAGATATATAAGCTATGTGGTATGTGACTATAACATCACTTGCTGCTCCACACGATATGGCATTTACAGTAGATACATGACAGTGCAGTTCCAATCCATGGTACCGTTGTGCTAGTGGTGTTTCAGGTTGTTGAGGGTGAATTTCCAGACTTGAGTGAGGGAGCCAGAGTCACAGGTTTCCAGAGTAAGGCCCTTCTCCTTGTGTACCTTGCTGTCGATGCACAGACTGCTGCCCATGAACTGCAGTCGGTTGTTATCCAGCTTCTCCCATTTCTGTGGGAATGTCAACACATTATCTGGATTAATGACACGAGCTGATGGAAGTATAATGGCATTTTCCATGGCAAGTCCCATCTCACCTGTTTAGGGAAGGCTCTATGAAGTAGTTAAGCTGCAACAGTCTCAAGTTCTCTCAAGCCCTGTCCATGACCAATGCCTGATATGTAGTGGCAGTTTAACTACTTTTGTTTGTTTGATCCCTTTTGTGCCTAGTGACACACTCAGGGCAGCAAAGTTCCTTCAGCATACCAGGAGGGGTTGCTAGCCCTTCAACAATTGCCTCTTTTACTGCATGCTGAATATGTTTGCTACACAAGGAAGGCAAAGAGATATATGTTGTTGTAAGTATCCTATCAGTAAGATCAGCACCCAAAGTGTTGTCAAAGAAACTAACTTTCAAACAACTCAAATACACAGGGAAAAGAACCCTTATATTCTAGGTACTAGTTGGTTGAGTCCAATAGGGACTATGTCACGGGTCATCACATGACCCCGTCCGCCATTGTAGTTCCCCTGAGATGTCCCAATAAAGTTCCCGTTTCCACATTGTGACTTCTTGTAATCTTGAGGTATCAAACACACATTATATAAATGGCAAAGTAACTATGGCAAAAATGTTCTGACTGTGGACTGATGGTCAAAATAGCTGTGGTAAAGGCTACATGTATGCTGAAATCCCTTCCCACTGAACATATGTTACCTGTTTGGTATTCTTTTCCTGACAGCCATGTAGTTTCAGTAGCTCTCCTGGATTCTGGTTTACCACAGTCAGACACAGGTCTGAATGGCGGATAGACTTGTCTTTTGTTAGGGCCCATTCCTGTACAGAACAAATATAAAATACTGTAGAATTCATGCTAGAAAATAACACCTGCTTCTGGGGAAGACGAATCCTATAGAAGGTGAAAAATTTTATCCACAAGCTCCAAGATAAAATCAAATTGAAAAGTTGCAAAATTTCTTGTTGAATGCATCCCCTCCCTTAGGTTCCCTGATATCTGACATCAGAATGGATGAAATTCTTGTCACACCTGGTTTCCACCACTCCCGTGGCATTCATACACACCCACGGTACCATCAGCAAAATGGCCCAGTGTGTCCATGCACAGAGTTCCCTGCTGCAGGGCCCCAAATGCCACATCCTTCTTGTCTGGGATCCTGTAAAATATTGCAGGCTTATCAATGAAATGTCCTTATGTTCCTACCCACATGTACATGTATATACATGTACCACCACTTTTGCAGTGTCTGTGTAAGCAGTTACCTGAAATATAGCTTTCAAGAAGGTAAATATAATTAATGCCTTTCTTTCTTTAGCTTTGATTTACTGTTACACAATGAGACCAGACTGATTTTTGAGGGTCTAATTACATTAAGAGCAATGCTAGTTAAGCCATTTTCATCTCAGGTACTGACAGATTCAATACTATTCTCTACCAATTTATCAGTAGTTTGGGTCAGATTTGAACACATCCATACTCTAACTGGATAACCCCTACTATAGTGTCATTAATGATGGGTATACTGTAATTAATGATGGGTAAAGGAACAAGGGAGAACTCGTCAGAGCTTCTGTAAGAGAAGTTTAAAAGCTCTTCATGAGTTCTTCATGAGTTCCAGTACAACTTAAGAACCCAGTCACAGGCTTGAAGGTGTTATCTCCCTGGTTAGATTCATTTCTCACTTTGCTAGTCTGACTGGTGCGTGGGTGTAGATATAGGATCACCCAGAATCTGTGCACCCATCTCACGCCTGTCTTCCTCTGCCTGAAATCCCCTCCCACAATCACTCAAACAGGCAGATATCCATGTAAAACATGCCAAATACACACCACAACTCTGTCATCTTACACACAAGGATGCACACAGAATCTATCATCACTGTATACTGACAATTTTGTGTGAAGAACATCTGATCAGACATGGGAATATGTTAAACTTTGTACATGTTCATTAATTGTGATGATAAATAGTTCAAGCTTTTTACAGCTCCTTGTCTTTATGAATGCACATGCTTATTTACTCTTACTAGTGTATTTCTGCATTTATAAGTTGGCATGTGAGAAAGCAAAGACAACATTTTATGCCTTTTTCAAATAGCGATGTTGACACACTGAAGACAGCTAGACTAATTTCCTCTCAGGAAATCAGCAAGGCTCACAGCCCAATGGACCTGACAGCAGGTCAGTTTTTTTGGCATCTGCCAGAAAATACAGAATCTGGCCTTTTATGAAAGACTCACATTTTTGACGAAGTGGAGACTTCAATTATGCTGGAGCAGTGATAAATGTGATGTAAAGACTATACGTCTCAGCTATATGAAGCTTCAAATCCCAACTCCTTCCAGTATAGATCAGGGATCATTTCAAACTTTCTATACTGAACTGATGGAAACTCATGCGATCAAATTAATCATGGAAAGTATCTCTTTTGCCTCTAGAAATAGTGAAAGTGTTGAGTTCAAACAGGCTCTTAGACTTCTTTTGCAGAGAATGGTAATTTATGGTTAATTTCATTCTATCAAATGAATTCCATCACTTTCCTCACAGTCCAACACGGTTCTCTTTGACTGAATGTACATTTTGTAATTTGGTACGTAAAGTGCAAAATTTTCTTCACTGCTGGTCATGATAATGTTCAGTTATCTCTGTGTGCAATTACTACCAGGTACTCACTGCACTCCTAACCAGTCATGGAGTCAATGTAGAACCCCAAGACAATCAGAATTCTAAGCTACAGTTTAAAGATCCTGAAGATAAATGGACTCACCTGAGTTCTGGGTACACATGCTCAAGGTACCAAGCAAATGGCTTGCAGCTTAACTTCTTACGCAGTTCCAGCCTGCTCTGGATGCTGTTGAAGAGATATGCAAGTTAAAAGGGTGAGATTTTCTGAAAGATTAACAGGTATTTGCAAGGTACAATGTATGTTCAAGATCCCTCTTTAAGATAAGCTATAACAAGGCAAAAGGACAAGATGTTCAATGAATACATGAAAAGGAGGAAATGTATCTAGCATATCTGTTAGGATGATGTTGTCCCTGTTGTGCAATAGGAATAGCTTTTGCTGTTTTCTTGTAAACAATCATGACGCACATGCCAAGGACATTGTTCATTTTCAAGCCAAGCAACTTAAAGATATGTAGATTATTCCTTAACTCAGTAAGTCCACCAAATCGAAAACTTGTCCTTGACAGTATTTGACTGGGATGAGGGACAAGCAAGCCCAAACAAAATTTTTGGCTGCTGCCTGTATTACATTCGGGGTTTCGGCAATGACAGATGACTTTGATGAAGACATTAGAAAGACAGATGATGCAGTTAGGCAGCCTTTTGCGTGTTCTAATCTACAAAGTACAAGAACCCGTGGGCTGGGTTAAACCTGCAGTGCTACCGTGTTAAAGCCTCAAGGCGCTGATCTGATTGTCTCTAACAAGCAAAACTACAGATTGAAAGACAAGGCAGGGAATACTCTACGATGGAAAACCTATCCATCATCCTGATAACATCTTCTTGCCAGAGGCTCCCCAGTCATCTGTGACAGTGGTTATCCAAGGGTTATCACTAACTTTCTTACTACAAAAAAGAAACAGGTCATTTAGCAAAACGTTCTAGGCATCTGAATGAAGGAATGATTTATCGGTACTGGTAGCAAGTTAATACATTACAATCCAAAGGGCTGGTCATCACTGTGTGATCATTCAGTCAAGGAGAGCCCAAGCAGACAGGTTCTGAACCCATGATTATTCTCCCAAATTATCTCCACTGTGACAACATCATCTTTCAACAGGGTCAACTATGGCAGAACTCAGATGTAACACATCTTTTTAGATAAAAATTTGAAAATCTCATCAAAACTCATCAATAAACATTTACTATCCAAAATGAGATTGCATGATAAAATTAGAATTGTCTCCACTGCTCTCAGCACAGATAACAACATAGTGACCTTTCAAATTTAAATAAAGAGAATATCTATTTTGTGTTTGCAGATTCTAAACATGTACATCCTTACATGTATATGTAGGGATTGACATGCAAGTCACAATTCTTCTTGCCTACTGGTGTGCAACCTGCACTAAAAATTCATATTGTCATGGCTGAATAACATATTTCCAGGGCAGGCATGCATACTTATGTGTGAGTTCTTCTAATTTGCAGAGCTTCCTAAGCATATGAATCACTGTAAAGAAGATGTCCTTGGGTACAGACACCTTGGTGCCTGTTTATGAAGCCATGAAGAAAAACCTAGTGGAACAAATACCTGCCAACGTTACTGTATGGGATAATATTATTGAGAAAGATAACAACTTTAGCTGTGTTTGTATAACCTTCAGCAAAATGAACTGAGCTCAGGTGGAAAGAACAAACTGAAAGCAGACTTTCCTTCCATACAGACAAAATCCATGGAAAGAAGATTTGTTGAGTATACCTAATAGTTTGCTTTATCAAGATGGGGCCATGGCAAAATACAAGTACCAGTAAACAAATGCACATACACATACACATGTAAACTCAACATAATTTGTTAGTAACAGAACAACTATATCAGGGCACTGACTTAAACACTATCTTTACATACAGCACTGAAAAGGTGTTGGACCGGACATAATTGTTTATATGCCTTTATAAAGGATAGAGAATGTTTTGTATGTGCCTCCCTTTTCTTTTTCCATGCAATGCTGCTACTTACTGCTAGGTGGCTCTTCCAAACAGTGCCAATGCACTACAAAACCATTATTAAGGTCAGTCAGCAAAAGTATTCTTACTTTCCAAAGGGAACATTTCTTGCTGAGGGTACAGCTGCATAATAGTACTCCTTGTACTCATCCATCCACACCTCTGCTGCTCGCCGGGTGTTCCTGTTTAAACAGGAAACTTTGGGATAAGACTGACATACAAATGGGGATACTTATATATCAAGTTGAGTCATGAATAGATTCTATAGGCTTCTTCAGGATTTTAGTTGCCTTTAAGTATTCAGTGTATCATGCAGTAGTCTAAAAATATAGGAACTTGGTACAGACCATTTAGTAATGTTGTTATAGCAAATACCTTGTAAAAAGTCACATCTTGTTTTGAAAGAGATTAAAACAATGCCATCTGGTCAAGAAATGTCTGAACAAACTTTTTAATCGTGTCGGTCATGATTATCATAAAGATTGCCAAAAAATTGTGAAATTTGACGAAGGAAACCCATTATGAATACACCTACCTTGTAAAGACATTCCCACTGCCCCCTGGGAAGGTGTAGGGGTGTTGTTTGCGGAACACGTGCCCCACACGGCTACAGGGGATGATTTCTAGACTGCCTTGACACTGCCACACACGGAAGGAAATTTCTGAAAAGGGTGTTTTACAATAAGCAGGATTAGATACAACGTTTTGGAGGAAAGGGAACAACTGAATTCACATTGTTTTTCAACAATAGCTTAGGGACTGTTAGCAGTGCCCCCTATTGAGATACCTGTACATTACATCTTGTGCAGGAAAGGCATACACAGGAGCACACTGCAGCACCCTTAGAATTTTCTCAATAATGGAGTACACTTTGAAATAGCCTGAATGCCTTAATATATGATTAGCACCACGAACAGGTCTTTCTCCCCCCCTCTCTCTCTGTTTAAAGGAAAGATAGTTCCAAACATTGGCCCCCTGGTGGCTTGTCATGGTACTGCAGCAGAACTTGCGGTTTTGATATCTCATGATACATACACTGGTCAGTATGAAGATGATGTTCAGGTTCAGTAACACATACGTCTGTGGATGGTGGTCTGCACCAGTCTGTGTTATTGTATTGGTGAATTGGTCGATGTGGATGAATGGAATGTATTCAACACCAAGGACAGATGGGATGGTGCTATCACCAGGGGTACACTTGTAAAAGTGGATGGTGTTATCACCAGGGGTAGATTTGTATGCAGATGGTGTTCAGCACCTGGGACAGGTCTTCATTTTGATGGTGATACATCTTAAATGTGGATGGTGTGTAGATGTGGATCGTTTTATCAATGGATGCAGATGGTGTTCAGCACCTGGGAAAGGTCTAATATCGAATGTATTTATCACCAGAGACAGGTTCATATTGGGATGGTATAGTCACCAGGGGTACATTTGTAAATGTGGATGGTGTTATCACTTGGGGTAAGTTTGTATGCAGATATTCAGCACCAGGGACAGGCCTATGTGGATACAATGGAATGTATTCAGCACTAGGGACAGGCCTGTACTGGGATGGTACAATCACCAGGGGTATGTTTGCAAATGTCGATGGTGTATACATATGCAGTGTTCTAGGCACCAGAATATGTTGGTGTTTTTGTGGACTACATTCAGCAAAAATGTGTGTCTGGGTAGTGTTTAGTACAAGGACCTCATCTATGTGTGGATTTCTTTCCTAGCATGAAGTATGATTCTTACCAGACTTTGACAAAACCTACCAAGGTTCTCGCCTCCCCACACATCCATCATCATATCGTATTTTCCAAGCTCATCAAACCACGATTTGTCAATCATGAACAGGCCTCCAGCTATCATGGGTGTTCTGAAACAAGACAGGAAGTTGAAGTGAGTGGTTTCATAATAAGATCACAAGGAAAAGGTCTACTGTAAGGATGAAGAGATTGTACTTCATGACAGAAGCAGGAGCTTCAGTCTATTAACAACTGTAATACAATCTGCCCCTGCCTCTTGGGGACAAAGCAGTTGAGGAAAGTCATCAAAATATATTTCAAACATTGCTGAAAAATATCTAATATAAGAAGTGATTTCAAAAGAAACTTTATACATTGTAGTAAGTTATGTGAAAAAGGCAACCAGACCCAATGTTGTATGTTACAAGTATCGAGTTAAAGGTGGGTACTGCTGAGGAGAAAATCCCAGGCACCTGGTGTGGCAGTAGTGGCACTTTTACCTACCTCTACATACTGATACTGTTGTAATTATTGAGAAGATGGGCATGAACTAGACTTTACTTGCCTTGTTCTACCCATCACTGTCACTGTGGACAATGTACTTCACTTTCTCCCATTGTACTCCAAGTGCATTTGCCCAGACAGCTATCTGATTTCAATTTGTCTTTATGACACGGCTGAATGCCTGGCATCCATTTATCAGTAGCCAGGGCCAATCAGCACATAGATTCTCAGAGCTGTGGCCTGACAAATGAGTTGAGACCTGCCTGGACCAAGGCATGGCCAATAAGGAAATAGCCTTATTGACCATTGTACATTCCATTTCATAGGGCTGTATACCATAATCCTTTTCATCAGGCTGTATATGTACTCCATTTCCTTGCAATTACAAGACTTACATGGACAGAATAAGATGCAGCTGGCGGGCATTTTACCTTTATTTTCTAATAACTTCTGGGAATCTACATGAAATGACAGGATTTCTTCTCAAGGCTGAGTTTGATTCACATCACCATTCCACTTAATGTGAAAACCCATCATCCCTTCATACTCATGCACTGCATATGGCCATGTCTACCTGCCATACAGATGTACACCAGCATGGGCAATCACAAAAGGTGATAATGGCTTTTCTTATCACACACACTGTAAAGGAAAGCAATAAAACCTACACATTCATCCTGCAGGACATGGATCGCTGCCATAGCAACCATACCCTACAGAACATTTTTCTGCTTTATGGTCTTGAGCCTACCATTCACAAGTACAGCTCACAGATTCCCTCAATTCCATGTCTGGTCCAGAGAATTCCTTTCATCTGTCACACCCCATGTTATACGTGAGCTAACTTGATGTTGGACAGGTACCAATTCAGCTGCATTACACAGCATGCTGAGCTATATGATGGTCATTCAACACATCAATGCTATGACTCAGCTCCATCATCCATGCCTAACAACCATTAGATGCTTTAGGAACATTCTGGAAATATAATTATAAAGTAAAAATTGATGAACTAAAAAAAACTTAACCACAGGGTGTTTATTAACCATGGAAAGTCTGTAACATGATAAGGAGTAGAGTGATTCCTTATTTAAGTTATTGTCAGGAATACTTACTTTTGGCTGAGTACAGACAATGACATCCTTGAAGACATCATGTCCTAACATGGATCACTAAGTGCCATGGATGAAGATGTCACTGAATTGACAAGAATCTCATCTAGAATAACATGCAGCATATTCCCCATACTCCACATTGAGCACAACCAGTGGTCAGTTCAGAAAAGGACACAAGTAAACGTTCCTTCAGCAACCAAATGCTATGGCATCTCATCAATAATCATAATGACCAAAAAAGACTAGAAAGGCACGAGGACATACAATGTCATGTAAAAACAGCAGTGCCAGGGGGATTTGTTCGAACTTCACACAAAACACTTTCCAAAAGGTCAAACTCCATGAGCTATGCCTGCAACTGATCCATTACAATAAGAGTGCATATGGCAACACTGCACATGTTGCTTTGTTACTTCAGAAGGAATTCACCAGCGAGTTCCATTACTTTTATGAATTTTACCAGTGTCCTTGGTTAGGTCCTTGAACGTGAATAAAATTGCTTATGTTGTGTTGTGAGAGGCATTGTCATAAAGGGAGTGCTTGGATCAGGGGACCTATACCAGCTTCCTCTAACTAAAAGAGTGCCTTCTGATGAAGGTGGCCTTCATCAATCTCTTGAGTGGCTGTAACAAACAGCTTTCAATATACTTCCAGCCCTTTTGACCTTTTATGAATTCTATCATATTGAATGTGGTAAGTTGTACTCTCCTACAGACTCCAGATATGAGGCCATTCATGGACCGAGGACAGGTAAGCTGTTATGTCCCCCAAAAGAAATTTGGGAGATATACCTGTCCAGCACTTATGGACCAAAGTACCCCCCTGCAAGAACCTCTGACTGATGTATTTCCTTTCTACTCAGTCCCGACAGCCCTGGCGAGTAGGGAATGTCTGCTATCTGCTGGAGCTTGTACCCCTGACTGATGTGGTTCCATTATACCCAGTCCCTTTAGTCCTGTCAAGTAGATGAATGTCTGCTAGCTGCTGAAGTTTTTTTGCTGTTATCTCACCCCCTGAGCTGAATGTTGCCCCATCAATCCTGTGAAAATACCTGAGCATGATTGCCACTTATGATCATCTTCCTTGTTATCTCCTTTCACAGCAGGTGTCCCATCAAAGTAAATGTCAGCTTCTATAGAAGAGTTCAGTTTCTCATATATAAACACTAGTGCTATAACCTTTTGGCTTCTTTGGGGAAGAGATCCTAGGCTACGATTCATCATCAGTAAGGTTATTACATGGTGGTGGTGGTAAGAATGACATGGATATGATGAAGGCTCAACAATTCTCTGGAAACATGACATTTACTTTAATACAATAAGTCCCATGCACCAAGTGGAACTGCATCAATTCCCAGGAAATATCGAGTTCTGCCTCACGAATGGTGGATTAATATGTACTAGCGACGGTGGTGCCAAATGTTGAGGTGTGATGAGATTTCCTGCAGGCAACTATCTTGAGATTTTCCTCTATTCGTTTTTTTTTTAAATTATAGTATCCCTGTCTTTCTTTTACAGCATACAACGGAGCAAACCCATCACCTGCTGGCACTTCAGCTGTTCACGTTATATACCACCCTGGTACATGTATGACTTACTGGTTTTCCTTGGCAGGTTTTATAAAAGAAGAAAAAATGCACTTCCCCGATGTTACTGCACTTTCACAGATGCATGGCTATTCAGGTAGAAATGTAGGACAATTTAGAGCCCCTGACTATTTTGATTAACGTGATGGGTTAGTTAATGTGCAGATTGTGATTCCCACTGAAAGCAGGACTAACAAGTTATGGTCCCATTAGAACAGAAAGTGAGCATTGCTCATGGCAATCAGGCCCTTTTCAGCATACAGATACATTGTATACAAAGAGCACTGTTTAGAAGGCATCTGATGCAGGATTCAAACACAGATCAACTGAGGCATGGTAAATACAAAGGACCAAAATAGACTCTGATAGAAGTGACAGAAATCATCTCTATGTACCATTCCTATCAGAATTCAGCCTACATTGTAATTGTGAACCACATCTGATGAAGTCTACAACATTGTAACAGTCTTAACTTGCCGTGATGCATGTACATACTAAAAATACTATCACAAAAGTGAAACCCTTACATGTATGCCACTTATTAAACCACAGCTCTGGAAAATGTTCAGTTTTGATGAAGTATTAGCCCTATACTATAATTAAGGTGGATATGTTTTATTGTGCTCATTATATTGTGAGCAGATTTAAAGCATTAACAGAACATTGAGATGCATTATAAATGGGTATAGAATTTTTATTGCCAAGTACAACCCCCAATATGTTGATTTTTCATATGGAAGGTTAGCTACAATGGAAAAGGTCACTTTCTTTATGAACCTAAATGAAAATATTTGATGGTACTATTTACAGGAAGCAGTCAGAACATAAATGAAGAGCAAATATTACATTCAAAGCCACGATACTCTCGAGAATTAATCGAGAATATCAAATTAATCATCTATCACAGAAGCTAATGTTGCTTTCATAAAATACTTCTCATTTTCTACTGTGGAAGGAATGATACAAGTTGAAGTTTCTCCATGAATAACAACAATATAGCCATACTACTATAGAATTTTTTGGAACCCTCTGGAATAAGCTTACCTGATTGGTGCAATCGGATCTGACCTCCGAGCATTCCTTTGATTGGCTGTCATATAATCCCATTTAAAGACCAAGTTCCAGTCAAAGCCTGTAACAAAATCAGTAATATGCATGACACACTGTTTGATAATGTGAAGGAAAGCCATGCATGTACTGGCAGATGCCTTGTACAGACCATCTCCTATAGGAGATTCTGTATGAAAAAAAAATCATTATCAATCACAGTCATGACTCCTAGGAATAGACCTCCAGGGAGGCATGCATAAGTTTTTAGTTCTATCCGGTACCAAATGTGTCACATGTTATGCTTTTTTAATAACTTTGTCATTACAAAATAACATTTTGTTCTATAATGCTGAACCTGACCTAATTCATAGTGAGATGGCTACGACTGGTTACTTAGTGATTGGGGTATTGATTTTTGCTCCAACGTCATCAATTTTCATTCAGCCCTTCATTATGGCTCATCAGTTTTCCCAGCGAAATGGATTAGAACTTGAAGATGGTAAAGGAATAGGCTTAATAATTTGCAAGCTGGCGGATAAAATTGACAAAAAAAGGTTTGCTGAGATTGAATTTCTAAAAGTTCTAGTCATGGTACAAAGTACTGCAAACCAAAAATATTTTATATATATTAATACTATCAATATTGTGACCTGGCTGTTACATAAAACATCAGAAATCACAATAAAATACACTGGGAAGCTAACTACAAATGAACGCCCTTTCAAATTTAGCACTTACATGCAAAAACATTTTGCGAGAAAACATTCACTACATATATGTAATAGTTTTTAAATAAAAGTATGATTGTCTTGTGAAAGACTAAATGCTGAACCCTGTCAAAGAGATTCCATAAGATGGAGTTCGATACCTCCTCGGAGGTCAGCTGATGCTCCTACATACTGGAAGTTGTCCATGTTGATGACATCGATAATGGGACATACAACCCTGGTGCGGTCCTGTAACACAACAGGTCACTGGATCAAAACCCACAGATTCCTATCTCCAAGTCATACATCTCTTTTAAAATAAAATAAATTTTGTTGAGTTGACTTCTTCTCTGAAGGCAGTGGATGACAAGTCCACTAAAAATCTTCTATAATGGCATTTTTAATTGACAGTGTGCTATATATCAACAATGCTACATCTGCAGATGTTGGCTTCTAGGTAGCTTCAGATAATTTAACGTCTGACCTCCATGACCCTCTCCAGCATGGGTTCCAGCCAGTGTTGGTTGCACTCACAGTGACTGTCCAGGAAGGTCAGGATGGGGGCTGTGGCAGCATCCGCACCTTTTACTCTGGAGCGCATCAGGCCTGGTACAATAACAACCATAGTGGTCAGCAACATTAAAAATCCATATCAATTGATTATATTTCAGTCCATACCATGGTATGGATGAAATATATTGTGTTCCCTCATGTTTCTCCTTCTTCTTCTCCTCCTGCCACTCGCTCTGAGGGATTCAACTCCGCCATCATTCAGCCAAATGACCCAAAATTTGGCATGGAGGTAGAGTGGGCCAATACTCACTCACTCACTCACTCACTCACTCACTCACTCACCCAATACCCAGATGCATTTTTTTTTCATTTTTTTGATAAATGCCTTTGAAAAATTTTTATGAAGGTTTTTTGGGGCATTTTTCGACTAAAAATGGATTTTTGGATCCTGAGCCCTGGTATTACAACCAAATGATCTGAAATTCGGTATAAGGGTACCTTGAACATGTGTCTACAGAATAGCAGTCACGTATTTGGCATACACCACTTCCACATGACTCATTTGGGGGACTTTAATGGCTATTTTCAGCAAAAAAAGGGCCAAAAGTGCTGTACCCGTTCCATGTTCTATCCAAAGAATGGCCCGTTCCATCCATGGAACACGTGTTCCATTGTGGGTTACCTGAGGTCACATTGCACCTAAGTCGTGCGTAATGACCCACACATTCAATTTATGTGCCTAAGACGTTCAAAATGTATCAAATCTCATCATTGTTAGTATTTGCATACCTGTAATAAGATTAGTAAAGCTTACGAGATTCAAAGTACTTGTTCTTGCATCATTGTTCTCATATAGCTACTATTTAATTCATTTATTTGAGAACCTTTGCCAGTTTTGCACTGGGGTAAGTTTGGAAAAGTCCACTTTTGCGTGGGAGGGAGATGGACTGAAATATGCTGTATTTGCTCCCAAGCAAATGTCCGCCTTTCTAGTTTGACACTCCTTTTAACTGTGTCAGAGAAAGGAGGGCATGGCTGAAAAACAGTCATTTGGAAACTTGGTCATGGGTTTAAAAATGGAATGCCATTGGATGAATTACATGTATGCATAGAGTCTAAAGGTCTACAAAAGTTTGCATGTATGTATGTATGTATGTATATATGTATATATATATATATATATATATATATATATATACATACATACATTTACATGAAAGAGCATCAACTATGGAAAATCATCTTTCTTATTTTTATGTCTTGAATAAAGGTAATTGTGGTCAAAAATGCCAGATTTTTGAAAAAAATGTTTCTTTCAGTAATGATGTCTGCAGCTACACCTCAATCAATTCTAACAAAGGTAAAATGATCCAGAGAAAAAAATTATATCACCAGGTGCTTCATTATTATCACATATTTCAAGATAAAAATTAAACATTTGCCACACATCATGTCAAAAAAGACAGCTTATGGACTACTGATTTCAGTGACTTCGCAAGCTCAAATTTCTCCTGATTACGCTGAAAATCATCTTTCTTCAATAAACTCACATAATCACAGCACGAACTTGAGGTTAGTTCTATCTCATTGGTAAAACTTATTCATAAGTTTGAAAAATACGAATCTCACTTTGCTATGATGCCATTTACAGTGGGTAATGCATCATACACCCTATATCCTAGCACTCCCAGGGAAGCTCAAGTGTATATAATCAATCAGAACAAGTAGAACCACCACCACACAAGGACATTCAACACCTAGCCTCTTATCACCTTTTGGAAGCTACAACCCTTTTTGCTTATAAGACTTTCCTTCCTGGCCCGTGACCTTAATTTTCAAGGTTAAGTCAAGTGTCTCCCAATGTGCCCTAGGGTAGAGTGCAGGCAAAGGCTCATAATCTCTGTGAGATTTTGTAGCTCCTGTTTACTCAAACATTTATAAAGGGCTCAGGAGGACATCTTGAGGTGGGACTGCCTTTATCCCATTCATCAGCAGGGTGAACAGATGTGTGTTCAGCTGTGGACTAACAGGATGTACATGTACAAAGCAGCTAGCTGCTGACAAGGCCTGCCAGTAGTAAGTAGGGAAATGGTAGATCAGGCCCTTTCCCTCATCAGTTTTGAAGCAAATCCAACTGTATTGCCAATTCCTTCAGGGGCACAAAGTTAAAATCATCCTTGTTACATGTACGTGTCAAAATAAAAGACTGTTAGGCCACAGCACGTAAGTTTTATGGATGACATCCTCCGCAGACTCCAAATTTAATGCGAGCGGGTGAAAAAAAACCAAGGCGGGCCAAAAAAAACAAGGTTCCTACATTTTTAAATTTTGACTCAATCATTGTACAAATTGTTTGATTCATTGGGAACATCACATATACACAGCCAACATTACATATCACTGCATCAAAGTAAGAAACAAAACATTAAATCAGAGTCTTGTCTTGTCTCCTCTCTTCTGATAGTTATCTGCCATCCACCCTCCGGCATGGCAACAGACATATTTGCCCATTTTCGGCATGTTGACCACTGTCAAAAGGCAACAAAATTTCTTTTTTTTTCCAAAATCAGGAGAAAATTAATGCGCGCGCTGATGTCATCCATAAAAATTACTTGCTGTGGCCTTAAGTCAACATTTGTAAACCAGAGCAGCATCTTGTTAAATGGCCATTGGCAACTAAATTGGAAAGGCTTGAGACTTGGCTAAAAATGCCTTTAGTACCAGTAGAAAATGTTGACCAAAATTAGCCACCATCTTTCAATTGGTTAATTGTTAAAGGTGAGGTATTTCTACCACTGCTTTAGGTGTACTGTGTGTAAGTGGATTGATGGAACAAAAGAGACAAAGAAAAAGAAGAGGAGAAAGAACTAAGGACTGTATATAACAAATTATTATGGGTTCCCTTAATCCTACCTTCTCTTCTCTCATTCCGCAGGATTTTGACCTTCTGAATCTGTGCCAGCTCCAGTCCATCATCGGCTGTGTCAAAGGAAATGTGAGATCAATACATCTGACAGCAGAGGGATCTCCTCCGTGATTTGAGCCACTTTTCAATTTAATCCACAGGTAACCTTGTCTGACACCCTGGAAGCTAAAATTGAGTCAAATGTGGATTTCATGAATATCTATCACTGCATTTATGAAGACAAAAGGACCAAATTGGAACATAATCAGGGCAAATGCATACGCATGTAAAGTTAAAAAGTACTTTATATGGACATTCTATGACCTGCTTTATTCCATGAAGATAAAGGAACATAAAAATCCAGACAGCACTGGGTTGTTATTCAAAAACAGAATTATGATGGTCAACATTATCTTTCAGTGCTTTGATAATGGAATATTGTAGTCTTCAATTTGCTGAAAGATTTTTTTTAATTGATAATAATCCATACGTAATAAGAACATCTTATTATAATAAAATGAAATTCACATGGTGGCATTCATGTAAGAACTTCTACCATCACAAGGGCAGAGTATTGTTAGACTGATTATAATGCATGTCCATTGTAATTTAGATTTTGGAGACACAATTGCACAGGGGACTGGCAATAGGTCCCTCTTTGGATTCAATCAATGACTCTATACATGTATATCACTCACTCACTCACTCACTCACTCACTCACTCACTCACTCACTCACTCACTCACTCACTCACTCACTCACTCACTCACTCACTCACTCACTCACTCACATATGTATGCATTGAGCAAAAAGTTGGTCGCCAGTTCTGCAAAGTTTCATGTTTCTGGATTATATTAAAAAATTACAGGTGCCAGCAGGTAATCCACTGAAAGGCAAATTACATGTACGCCTTGCAAGTACATGTACATATACTCATAACTCTGGCGCACAGAACTTGACACCACTTCAAAGTGAAAAAAAAACTGCAGCTATAAACATTAAACATTGGTGAAAAAATGTATTGTTCATTACATACATACATGTAACAAATGTGGTGTGATATATGTGTATCTGACAAGTATACGTGTCTCATACTCACGTTTATCACTGTAGTCATCCACCAGTATAATCTCCTGGATCAGGTTGGGAGGACTTCTTAGCAACACACTGGAAGAAAGTATGTCCTCTGATTAATGATCCTTATGATAACATGTCAATCTCAGTGAGGACATCATCTATTTCTCAGCAGTGCAAAGCCTGTAATAAAAAGCTCAATCACAGGTGAAGAATTGCCCGTAGCCATGAGAGGCACAATCAGCCTGCCCATCAGGCAATATCTGCCCTGGAATTGGATCCAAGATCAGCAAGTCATATCTGGCCCCATTTGCTATATGATAGGGTAGAAATTGGAGGCCAGAAAACCATGTATCTTCTTTACACTTCACACAAGCAAATGGGTTTGCAGAATGACAGAGTTGCAAAAATAGTGTTGAAGTAGTAACTATGATGTTTTTTAATAGAAAAATACAACAATAGACATGCAAGCTACAGTACAAATGTATTTAACTCAACAACATTACTAACTTCTCAGAAAGCTTGACTATAGTCACTGCTGAATTGTGAGCCAAAAACATGTATGGTGAATAATAATTTTCAAAGTACATGGAATGAAAGCTGCAGCATCTTTTACTTCTCTGTCTTATTTGTTAGATCTTAGGCTGAGATATCAGTAAACAAGATAATTCTTCAGATATGTCACTGTCATGCCGATAAATCTGATGGTTCAAACCAGCATGACAAGTGCTATGTATATGACATTGTACACAAGAAGATTTTGGATCTACACATGTCAAATGAAGTTATATATGACATTGTATATCTTGATGCTTCATCTTTGTATCAGGACTAGTCTGCTTTATCTAACATTGATTCTGCTATACTGATTATTCTCAAAACTCAAGTACTAGTTTTGCCATGTGACAGGCTTGCTTGGAGATGACATATGATCCAATACCAGCTCCTGCAGATGGATACAGGAAGACCTATGCACTGGGTTTTATGGACCAATTCTTCAAAGGGAATCCTTGATAAGAAGCCCCGTGGCAGTCAGAGCTGATTTCAAGAGGATGTGAGAGTACTCATGCCAGAAGCACACACTATCCGTCATGCTCACATCACATGCTGGAGATGGAAACACTGTCTTCAACTTCTTTAGGCTGTAGCAAAGAACTAAGACTTTAAATGTATATCCTCAGGAGTTTAGCTTTAGGCTTGCATACTGTGAAGTTATCCTGTTCAAAAACACTATGATCTCCTGTTCCCCTTGGATGGAAAAAACTTTCAAACTAAAAATTGTAACATTGGGGTAATGTTTTGAAGATAGATATCATAGATAGATATGTCTTTGATGTGTTCCTTGGTATGAAATATGTTTTATCTAACTGTAATCCAGATTGCTGCATATCAGATCAGTGCAAAATGCAGATTACTGAGTGACAAGACTGGGCCTGGCCTGAGTTCTGGTACTCATACTTGCTGGTGTAGAACATTACAGTAACTATTTATAGCAGCAGGCTACCTACACAGAATTTAAAGTGGCTTTTAAGAGGCCTCCTGGGTGCACCCTCAGATACATGTACCACGAATGTTAGTTTTTCCATGTACATGCACTTGCATACCTAATATGAAAATGGTACATGTAAAAGAGTTTGGTGACTTACTTACTTGGAGTGATAGTTGATAATTGTAAAGTGGCTAGTGACAATGAAAGCACCTTCTTTCAAGTATCCCATATTTGTTAAACCAGCTATACTACACTTGTACGTCCATGTCATCCTCTTTCTGCCCAACGGTATTACTGACTAGCAGCTGGATTGAAAGGGTTACGGGTATTACATTTACCTCCAGACAAGATTCTGGATCATTCTATATTATAAGAAGGGCGATTCCTCAGTAAAATTGAAGGTTATGAATCATAGCACAGGGCATACAGGTTGCCCTGATTGGGCAACTTTGTAATTCAGATCTCTGTAATGAGAGCTAGAAATCATTCCAAACAAGACAGAAGTTTCTCAGATGACAGGTTTGGAATGTAATGAAGCTGAGAGTGGGTTTGATGAACCAGTGTTGATTTGACATCTATACAGTCCAACATTTCATTTCCAAAGTGCCAGACCACTATATTCCAATATCTGTCTGTGAATTAAGGAGGGCTGACAACTTTATTTCCCTCATGACACAATATCTCCTACAAGCGACCCATAGTTATGATATCTTCACTGTGCTAATGTGACAACTTTGACAGTACTAACAGGACTCAAGACATGCAATATAGTGTTTCTGTTTCAAAATCGCCCCAAAATTGTGACTGTAGAATGCTGATACAACTACTCACACAAAATCAGTTGCTGCATTTGTTGAAATTTCATCAGATTCGTTTATCTGAGAATGTTTCAAAAGAATACAATTTATTTCTTAGAATAGGCAAATTAATTCCCTTCCAAAAAGCATCATTAAAAGTGCATAATGCAGCATTTATGCTATAGTCTTCTGCAGTTTTCCTATTATGTTGCTTATATTGAATAGTCAAATCAATCAATAAGTACTTTTGTCCAATAATTGGTTCGCTTTTGTACCCACTCTTCTAGACCTTCTCTCAAATGCACATAAAATGGACCTTGGCAGTTTCATTTGAAGTCATCTTCAAGTTACAGTTTGTATTACTGTGCATGCAACACATGATGGGAACAAGGACATGGCATAGAATCTGAAACACATGTTATGTTTTCTATCAAATTACAATATAGAAGGAAATAAAACCCTCCTTGAATAACAAAAGAGATTACAACTGTTTTATAGTGGCATTGAAAATCAATTTACAACAGGACTACAAAGGGAGCAATATTACTGCTATTAGAATCTTCTTTTATGGTTTCCTCAAGTACAGACGAACAGTTTCAGATTTGAATTTTTGTAACACTTGAACTCACCTGGCAAAAGTTAGCTTATATTTGGAAGCAAATTAACCTTAACAGTGTGTGGCCTTTTAACTACATGACCTACCTACATGTATGTGCCATGGAAGAATATGGATTTGAGCAATGGTATTCATGGGGTTCACCTTCAGTGGTTCACAGTGACATTGAAATATTATAATTTACTGACCTGATCTTTGTCTTAACTGAGGTTGCAATTAAACCATCAGTTAAGTAATACTACAATATCCCTCCTGGCTCAAAGCAAGTATTCATAGCTTAGAAATTGATCCCTTTTACACCTCTGATTACACTAAATGATCAGCTGGAACCTTAGGGTCATCTTGGATCTCTTTCCCATCCGTCAGCGGCATTGTAAATTACACATTCCATGCAGACTTCTTCATCAGCATTCAGGTCAGACAACTACCTGTAACAAGACTCTGCTGATCACAATTTTGCTATCATGCATTAAGGAATATTCAAGACACTTCAATGTCCTCAGGTCTCCTTGGGAAACAAGACGAAGCCTGACATGTTTTATTTAAAAATGGTTAACAAAATTCAAAGTGTTTTGAGAAGAAAACACGTAACATGATTTGAGTACATATAGCATAATCACTTGTATTTAACTTAAACATACAAAGTGGTTTTGGTTTTAGTTAACATAACAAACTCATTGCCAGATGCCATGCAGAATTCAAATCTGTATAAATTTCATGGGAAGTTGGAATGCTACTCATTAAAAAGTATGCCTCACAGTAGATAGCATGGAAACACTGACAATCATTCACATATGACAACAAGCTTTCTTGGCGCACTGGGCTGCTGAGCCAGTGGGATAACTCAAATGTTATCCTTGAGCCAAGTAATAAAACTGGTGTGGCCAGCTAGCTATGATTTGCTTCAGTCAATCAATCACCATGAACAATGGCTTGGAACTGATCCAAGCATTTCTCAAACTTACCTTTCCCTATTACAATATATGTACTTCACCTTGGCCTCTACATTGAAGTACTACATGTTCATAGTTTAGACATTGAATGGCAGATAATTTGGCAGAGAAACCAGCTGGTAAAGGAGGCCATAATGGAGATTGATAAAAGCACAAGCCTTCCGTAACTTGATGTATAAGGAACTTCTGTCTATTTTACTTTACTTTATAGCTCCATAGAAAAGGAGTCCCTATAAATTCTGAATACAGCCATAGAGTTGGACCATAAAAGAAGTATAAAGTACATGCATCTTAGACAGCATCAAAGCAGGTGGATGTTATGCCTAATAAATGCAAAATTTCGACACAGTAATCTATAAAATTTAGATTGCCTTTAACTACAATATTTACTTAATATATGCATTATATCAGTGAACTGAGAGTTTAAAGCATTATAAAGATATGTTAATTATTAGGAGTTCATAGTGCTACATTTCCTCACTGGTTCCACTCAAGCAGAGCTACAAGGAATATGGTAGACAATAGGATGGAATCATTATGTGCGGAAGAAAAATGTGCAAGACTAAGGGGTGAAACTGCCTAGTCGTAGAAGCTATCAGTGATTTACTATTATTTGAAGCTCTACTAACTTCAACATATGGTGGGGTGCTGATTCAGGGGGTGCGTTTCTGATGGGTCACAACAAATCTTGCTCGCCCCATCACTCTGGCCCTGCTCTAATACACCACCATACATCTTGCTCCCAACTCCCTTGAGGAGTGCCCAGCGATATTTCTCATAACCGTGACATTTGCAGCATGCAGGGAGGGAACCTGAAAATCCATATTTACAGCTAGGGTAAACTAAACAAGGAGGTACAGAGATAAATCACTAACTTTGCACTTTTACCAAAGCCCCAGTGGGTCATAAACGAGATTGTACATTCACAGGGGCATCTCCATCAGCACATTGCCAGGATAGCTTTATTTCCAGAACTTTCCAGTGGTTAGGGTATATACCTCAAGTATCTACTTAATATCTAAGACCATATTTTGAGAAAGGCATCAACATAATATGATGATCTATGAAAGTCTTCATTCAATTGTGCCTTTTTACTAGTGTCCTCATGAATAGATTATTTAATTACCTAATGATATGACAATGATTCTTTTTTTTTTCATTCCCAGTTACAAGTAGCAGGAGAATAAACATCTATTCATAACTTTATCATAAAGCAGGAATTCAAAGACAATGCAATAACAATTACTGATGCAGTAAAGGTCTCCAATCAACAATAGGATGTACACATCTTTGGAAAGCATGTTGTTCTTTGGGAACATTGATGTATTCATGCAACTAATGCACCTCATGTCCCAAACATTCTCCTCTAATCCTAATGTCCATGAATGCAAATGAATCATATATATATTGATTAACTATTAATCATAAAATGGCAAGTCAGCTTACTAATCACTTGCGTGCAGTGATTACATTCCTCTGATGAAAATGTCAATCATGTCCATTAGAGAGCTACATCTGACAAAATCAAGAATGGCTGGATTAAAAGTAAGCTTGCAATCGTTCCGCATAAATGGCCCTTTGCTTGAGATGACATCCTGTTTGACCCTATATGTGACAATCCCGTAATAGCCCTTACCTTCACATTACTACAGTTATAGGTGTTACCAGATGGCTCCCAGGTGACTGTGTGTTCTTACCTGGTGATTGTACGTAATAAGGTGGAGCGGGCCTCATTGTGGAATGTGATGATGACACTGGTGGGCAGCAGATCCTCCTTCCATGCATGAGTTTTACATCTGTTAAGGAGCAACAAGAGAGGTTACTAACTTTTTTTTACATCAAGCAAAAATAAAGCAAATGCTTAATTTATGAAGTTATCAAATTCATCAGCCAGCACCGATCTACCTATATTTGTATATAGGAATGTAGCACTTTTGGTGGATATCATTGCTTGCTTCCTTTACAAGGACTTTCATGTCCTTGTAAATCAATGTACACCTGAGGTTTCAGTTTCTATATGTTACACAGAAACTGCTGTTTCTTCCTCAAGTATATAGCTCAAAACCTGGAATGACACAATTTTAGCACATATGACCTGTGAAAATAATGATTGATGGCCTTCATCCACAGTGCAGACATTGGTGCTATATATTGGCAAAACCATGTATCAGTCCATTATCGAGTAAGGAACAGGGTACTGGGGGACCCATTTATATCAAGATTGGCCACACTGACCAATTTAGCAGTTCCTGATGACTAAACCTTTGTCTAGCAGACAACAGCATCATTTTAGAGCTCTAGAACCAGCAGGGCTTCATTATAACAGTATATTTCACAGTACGATAGGAAAAATCAGCCGTAATCTATAGTCCTGTCCATGGTGCTGATATGTTGGATGTTGGTACCTCTACATGCCCCAAGAGATGTTCAATTTTGGTACAATTATCTTATTCTTCAGGTGTAGAATATATGTTTTTACCATATATTAGAACCAACTCATTTCCCCCTTAATGAAATAACTTCATTCTCTGTATGCTGATTATTACTATAAAAAATAAATATCGCTTTATCCTCCGTATAGACATCCAATGTTAACAGAGACATCCAATGTACAACATACTGAATTATACATGAATTACAGCAGAAGTAGCACTTCTCAAGATACGGTATTACCATAAATGCATTGAGGTTTTGCTACAATATAAAGATGGCATCAAATTATCTGTGAGGTAACAATACCTTTTAGGTACAAGTTACCTTAAAATATGGCTGTATGTCAGGGGATTAATAAATACTAACAGTAATGATAATGATAATGGTCCCTTCAATTACAATTCAGCAAGCTTTAGCAACAGTGCAAATGTCATGCAAGAGGTTCTACTATTCAGTATGCATGCATCTCATTGCCTAGTAAATAAATAGGCCAATATGAGGCATATAGTCAAGAGAGGCACAAGACAGGTCTTAAATGTGCACTATATTCAGCAGACATCTTGGCACCATCTTCATCATTCTCATCAAAGCCTCAGATAGTGTTGCAACTTTCTTTAATAATGTAGACCACCAGTCAACAGTCCATACTTACAGCTGGTTTCTGGTAT